ATATGAATGAAAACAAAGCTTCCTCTGATTGGCTGAGGCTGAGATTGTGACGCCATTCTCACCCCCCTCTCGCACATGGCGAGCTCCCAGCACAAAGACCTAGGGTGTCATTGAGAGCTCCGGGTCCCGTTCTAACGATTGGGACTCCTGATCGCTGTGATAGCCTCTGATTGGCTATTACAGTGATCAGTCACTGTGAAGCCCGCCCCTCTTGTTTTCCCTCTCTGAATGGAGGAGAGAGATACATTGTATCTCTCTCTGTCCTTTCAGAGAGGGAAAAAAAAAGTGTAAAAAATAAATACATAAATAAAAATAATAAAAAAAAAAAAATACCTAGGTCAGGGTTAGTGTTTGGGTCAAGGTTTGAAGAGTTGTTTTTTTTGTGGGGGGGTTGGTTAGGAGGTTTTTTTTTTTAATTTTTAAATTCGTATCAGTGTCAGTTAGTGGCAGGATACAAATAAAAAAAAAAAAAAAAAAGGAAATTGCGCACTATGGTTTCTGGGCTGTACTACGGGTACAAACAACAATTAACATACACACATGTGGTATCCTTGCGATCGTCAGGAGCAGGAGAAATTATTTTGGGTTGTCCTTTGGTGGTAGGATATGGTAGTAACAAGAAATAAACAGATACATTTAAAAAATTTATTATTTTTACTATTTTAGGACAGTTTTCCTTTGGTACATTGTATCTCTCTATGTCCTTTCAGAGAGAAAAAAAAATGTGCGTGTAAAAAATAAATACATAAATAAATAAAAATAATAATAAAAATTAATAACAAAAATACCTAGGTCAAGGTTTGATCTAGGTCTGTGCCAGGGTTAGTTTGGGTCAAGGTTTTTTTTTTTTTGGGGGGGGGGGGTGTTTTGGTCAGGGTATTTTTTAATTTTTAAATTCGTATCAGTGTCAGTTAGTGGCAGGATACAAATAAAAAAAAAAAAAGAAGCAAATTACGCACTATGGTTTCTGGGCTATACTGTTCTACGGGTACAAACAACAATTAACATACACACATGTGGTATCGCTGCGATCGTCAGGATCAGGAGAAATTATTTTGGGTTGTCCTTTGGTGGTAGGGTATGGTAGTAGCAAGAAATATACAGATACATTTAAAAAAAATATTAATTTTTTTACTATTTTAGGACAGTTTTCCTTTGGTACATTGTATCTCTCTACGTCCTTTCAGAGAGAGAAAAAAAAATGTGTGAAAAAAATAAATAAATACATAAATAAATAAAAATAATAATAAAAATTAATAACAAAAATACCTAGGTCAAGGTTTGATCTAGGTCTGTGCCAGGGTTAGTTTGGGTCAAGGTTTTTTTTTGGGGGGGTGTTTGATCAGGGTTTTTTTTTTTTTTTTTTAATTTTTAAATTCGTATCAGTGTCAGTATACAGAAAAATAAAAAAAAGGAAATTACGGACTATGGTTTCTGGGCTGTACTACGGGTACAAACAACAATTAACATACACACATGTGGTATCCCTGCGATCAGGAGCAGGAGAAATTATTTTGGGTTGTCCTTTTGGTGGTAGGGGTATGGTAGTAGCAAGAAATATACAGATACATTTAAAAAAAAAATAATTTTTACTATTTTAGGACAGTTTTCCTTTGGTACATTGTATCTCTGTCCTTTCAGAGAGAAAAAAAAAAAACGTGTGTGAAAAAAATAAATACATAAATAAATAAATAAAAATAATAACAAAAATTAATAAAAAAAATACCTAAGTCAAGGTTTGATCTAGGTATGTGCCAGGGTTAGTGTCTGGGTCAACTTTTTTGTGTGTGTGTGTGTGTGTGGGGGGGGGGGGGGGGGGGGGGTTGGTAAGGGGTTTTTTTTTTTTTTTTTCATTTTTAAATTCGTATCAGTGTCAGTTAGTGGCAGGATACAGGAAAAAAAAAAAAAAAAATAAATTGCGCACTATGGTTTCTGGGCTCTACTACGGGTTTGCAAACAACAATTAACTTACACACATGGCAGGAGAAATTATTTTGGGTTGTCCTTTGGCAGTAGCAAGAAATATAAAAGATACATTGAAAAAATTTATAATTTTTACTATTTTGGGACAGTTTTCCTTTGGTACATTGTATCTCTCTCTGTCCTTTCAGAGAGAAAAAAAAAAATGTGTGTGTAAAAAAAAATAAATACATAAATAAATAAAAATTAATAAAAAAAATATCTAGGTCAAGGTTTGATCTAGGTCTGTGCCAGGGTTAGTTTGGGTCAAGGTTTTTTTTTGGGGGGGTGTTTGATCAGGGTTTTTTTTTTTTTTTTTTTTTTAATTTTTAAATTCGTATCAGTGTCAGTATACAGAAAAATAAAAAAAAGGAAATTACGGACTATGGTTTCTGGACTGTACTACAGGTACAAACAACAATTAACATACACACATGTGGTTGTCCTTTGGTGGTAGGGTATGGTAGTAGCAAGAAATATACAGATACATTTAAAAAAAATAATAATTTTTACTATTTTAGGACAGTTTTCCTTTGGTACATTGTATCTCTGTCCTTTCAGAGAGAAAAAAAAAAAAAAGTGTGTGAAAAAAATAAATACATAAATAAATAAATAAAAATAATAACAAAAATTAATAAAAAAAAAATACCTAGGTCAAGGTTTGATCTAGGTATGTGCCAGGGTTAGTGTCTGGGTCAACTTTTTTTTTCTTTTTGTTGTGTGTGTGTGTGGTGTGTGTGTGGGGGGGGGTTGGTCAGGGTTTTTTTTTCATTTTTAAATTCGTATCAGTGTCAGTTAGTGGCAGGATACAGGAAAAAAAAAAAAAAAAAAAATTGCGCACTATGGTTTCTGGGCTCTACTACGGGTACAAACAACAATTAACATACACACATGGCAGGAGAAATTATTTTGGGTTGTCCTTTGGCAGTAGCAAGAAATATAAAGATACATTTAAAAAAAAAAAATATAATTTTTACTATTTTGGGACAGTTTTCCTTTGGTACATTGTATCTCTCTCTGTCCTTTCAGAGAGAAAAAAAAATGTGTGTGTGTAAAAAATAAATACATAAATAAATAAAAATTAATAAAAAAAATATCTAGGTCAAGGTTTGATCTAGGTCTGTGCCAGGGTTAGTTTGGGTCAAGGTTTGTGGGGGGGTGTTTGGTCAGGGTTTTTTTTTTTAATTTTTAAATTCGTATCAGTGTCAGTATACAGAAAAATAAAAAAAAGGAAATTACGGACTATGGTTTCTGGACTGTATTACAGGTACAAACAACAATTAACATACACACATGTGGATGTCCTTTGGTAGTAGGGTATGGTAGTAGTAGCAAGAAATATACAGATACATTTAAAAAAAATAATAATTTTTTTACTATTTTAGGACAGTTTTCCTTTGGTACATTGTATCTCTGTCCTTTCAGAGAGAAAAAAAAAAAAAAACGTGTGTGAAAAAAATAAATACATAAATAAATAAAAATAATAACAAAAATTAATAAAAAAAAACCTAGGTCAAGGTTTGATCTAGGTATGTGCCAGAGTTAGTGTTTGGGTCAACTTTTTTTTTCTGGGGGGTGTGTGTGTGTGTGTGTGTGTGGGGGGGGGGGGGGGGTTGATCAGGGTTTTTTTTTTCATTTTTAAATTCGTATCAGTGTCAGTTAGTGGCAGGATACAGGAAAAAAAAAAAAAGCAAATTGCGCACTATGGTTTCTGGGCTGTACTACGGGTATAAACAACAATTAACTTGCACACATGGCAGGAGAAATTATTTTGGGTTGTCCTTTGGCAGTAGCAAGAAATATAAAGATACATTTAAAAAAATAATAATTTTTACTATTTTGGGACAGTTTTCCTTTGGTACATTGTATCTCTGTCCTTTCAGAGAGAAAAAAAAAACGTGTGTGAAAAAAATAAAATATATAAATAAATAAAAATAATAACAAAAATTAATAAAAAAAAAAATACCCAGGTCAAAGTTTGATCTAGGTCTGTGCCAGGGTTAGTTTGGGTCAAGGTTTTTTTTTTGTGGGGGGGTGTTTGGTCAGGGTTTTTTTTTTAATTTTTAAATTCGTATCAGTGTCAGTATACAGAAAAAAAAAAAAAAAAGCAAATTATGCACTATGGTTTCTGGGCTGTACTACGGGTACAAACAACAATTAACATACACACATGTGGTATCCCTGCGATCGTCAGGAGCAGGAGAAATTATTTTGGGTTGTCCTTTGGTGGTAGGATATGGTAGTAGCAAGAAATATACAGATACATTTAAAAAAAAAAAAAATTTTACTATTTTGGGACAGTTTTCCTTTGGTACATTGTATCTCTGTCCTTTCAGAGAGAAAAAAAAAACGTGGTGTGTGAAAAAAAAAATACATAAATAAATAAAAATAATAAAAAATTTATAAAAAAAAATACCTAGGTCAAAGTTTGATCTGGTCAAGGGTTGTTTTATTTTTTTTTTTTGGGGAGGGGGGGGGGTTGGTCAGGGATTTTTTTTTTAATTTTTAAATTCATATCAATGTCAGTTAGTGGCAGGATACAGGAAAAAAAAAAAAAAAGCAAATTACGCACTATAGTTTCTGGGCTGTACTACGGGTACAAACAACAATTAACATACACACATGTGGTATCCCTGCGATCGTCAGGAGCAGGATAAATTATTTTGGGTTGTCCTTTGGTAGTAGGGTATGGTAGTAGCAAGAAATATAAAGATACATTTAAAAAAAAATTATAATTTTTTTACTATTTTAGGACAGTTTTCCTTTGGTATATTGTATCTCTCTCTGTCCTTTCAGAGAGAAAAAAAAAAACGTGTGAAAAAAATAAATACATAAATAAATAAAATAAAAATAATAATAAAAATGAATAAAAAAAAAAAAAATACCTAGGTCAAGGTTTGATCTAGGTCTGTGCCAGGGTTAGTTTGGGTCAAGGTTTTTTTTGTGGGGGGGTGTTTGGTCAGGGTTTTTTTTTTTTTTAATTTTTAAATTCGTATCAGTGTCAGTATACAGAAAAATAAAAAAAAAGGAAATTACGGACTATGGTTTCTGGGCTGTACTACGGGTACAAACAACAATTAACATACACACATGTGGTATCCCTGCGATCGTCAGGAGCAGGAGAAATTATTTTGGGTTGTCCTTTGGTGGTAGGATATGGTAGTAGCAAGAAATATACAGATACATTTAAAAAAAAAATAATTTTTACTATTTTAGGACAGTTTTCCTTTGGTACATTGTATCTCTGTCCTTTCAGAGAGAAAAAAAAAAACGTGTGAAAAAAAAATAAACACATAAATAAATAAAAATAAAAAACAAAAATTAATAAAAAAAAAAAAATCAATACCTATGTCAAAGTTTGATCTGGTCAAGGGTTGTTTTTTTTTTTTTTGAGGGGGGGGTTGGTCAGGGTTTTTTTTTTTTTTTTAAATTCATATCAGTGTCAGTTAGTGGCAGGATACAGGAAAAAAAAAAAAAGCAAATTGCGCACTATGGTTTCTGGGCTGTACTACGGGTACAAACAACAATTAACATACACACATGTGGTATCCCTGCGATCGTCAGGAGAAGGATAAATTATTTTGGGTTGTCCTTTGGTAGTAGGGTATAGTAGTAGCAAGAAATATACAGATACATTTAAAAAAATAATTTTTTTACTATTTTGGGACAGTTTTCCTTTGGTAATGAAAAAAAAAAATAAATCCATTACCATTTACCACCAAATGAATTTGTCCTGAAAAAAATTGCGGTATAATCCACCTGAATGCACAAAGTAGTTGTGATGATATGGATGGTTTTGCTAAAACATGTCAAAGTTGCAAAATTGTGCTTAGGCATTAACCTCCCTAGCGGTATGGTTATGTTAGATTTTTGGTGCTGAAAGCGGTACCATTTTTTTGCATGGAAATATGTAGTTTTTTATTGTAGGATGTAATTTTTAGGAATAACTCACTGAAATCTGTCCGAACAAGAGTCTAGTAAACATCCCGGGTATGATAAAACTTGAAACACGAAATCATAAATTATAATTTAATAAATAGTCATAAAAAAAAAAAATATAATAATAATAAATTTAATTCAATAATGTCATCAAACCAAAAACACTGAAATGTGAAATATAGCGCCAAGTTCGCACATCGCTGAGCAAAGTCGCAGAATCGTTTTCAGTGTCTGATGAGGAATTTCCCCCACGAATCATTATCACTCAATTCTGCAAGTGGTTCTGATTTACTATCGCTGTTCTCTAGCCGGTCTAAAACCGCGTCTGACCTAAAGGGACGCTTTTTGGACGCCATGGACGTTTCTCAGTTTCCAGGCAGAAAGAACAGTAAAAATGCAGGCAGGGCGCCGGACAAAGCACTCGGGACAAAATGTATGTGAAATGGTTTTTTATAACAGCAATGTTTTACTATGTAATAATCGTTTTAAAAAAAAAAATTAATTTTTTTACATTTTCAAATTTGCCGCCGGTTCCGGGGCGCCCGTACGTCCCGACGTCACAGGGACCGGAACACGGAAACCGGATGCCGGCATCGGCCGGAGGAGATGGCCGGGGACGCTGCATGGGGGACATCGCAGGGAGCGAAAGACAAGGTAAGCTCTGCAGGGAATCCCTGAGCAACGCTGCATGGTAAGCCTGAGTGTAGCTCGGGGGGGGTTACTGCTTTTGGTACTGAAACTCTACCCCGAGCTACACTCGGGAATACCGCCAGGGGGGTTAAAACACTGCACCTCCACACGTCTAGTAAACACAGACGCATTCACAGCCATCAAAACGCATGGCACCACATTACTACTGTGCGGTTAGGTGCAACACACTTATAATAGTATGCCTGCAGTATTTAGCATGTTCGCACATGTTAGCCAGCCCATTGAAATTAATGGGCTGAGGAAAAAAAATTGTCTTTAATGCCCCATTCACGCAGGTCCTCAGGCCTATACGGCATGAATGAGGGGGTTGTTCACGTGGTTGGACCCACCTGGTAAAACTATGGGGACACAGCAGCTGTATGAACACAGGTTTTAATCTAACAGGCGTGTAGGCGTGGGGAAGTGGCCCTGAATGCTTACTTTCTGAGTTCAGGGCTGTACACCTGCACCCATATGCTTGTCAACTTAGGACCTGCAGCATTTCCATAGTGTAACATAGGTTGCCTGAAAACGGCTGCAGCCACATAAACAAACCACTGATTCACACTCTACAGGCCACAGCACCCATGTGAATGAGCCCCAAGACCTCACCTACACACACAGCTTTATTTATTAAGTCGGTACAGTTTTATCATTTAGATTTAACAAGAATTTTGTTGGGATTGTGTCCATTAATAATAAAATTTTTAGTGTAGTTTTACCATAAATATAATTTTGATATTTTCTCTGGTGGTGGAGGGGGGCCCGTCAGGTAGGCTGTACGGGGCCCCGTGATATCTAACAGTGGCCCTGCTGTCCAGGGATCCAGCACTGTCCTCACCTGAGACAATTCTTTCGATCTGCTTTGGGTCCAGGCACCGGCATCGTAGGTAAAGGAAACAAGTGAAGCCTTCTGGCTTCACAGCCGGTTTCCTGCTACGCATGCGTGAGCTAGGCACTGTGAATGGGTTTGCAGTCTTCTGGGACCTGTGATGTGGCCCAGAAGGCTGCAGGGGAAGGAGCGGGGCCGATGCGATCCACCCAGAAGTGGGAGCTGGTACCTGTCAAAACCAGATACATGCCCCCCCCCCAACCCCAAAAACTGCCAATTGTTAAAGAGAAGAGGGGGAGGATACAAAACAAGGGAACTTCTCATTTTGGCCTCTTTCACAAGGGTGTTCCATAGGTCTGTTTTTCATCTGTCCGTTTACGGATGAAAAACTGACCCCCATGTATTTCTATGGACTTGCAGATGTAAACGGATTAACATCTTTTTACATCCGTTAAAATCTGTTATTTTTAACAGAAGAGAACCCTATTTTTCTTCCGCAAAAAAACCCCGGAAGGGATGAAAAACGTATGTCAACGGATGTAAACAGACCAAAAACGCAAGTAGATTGATGAAAACTGACATAAACTGATGAAAAACAGATCTAAACGGATGCAAAATGGATGTAAACTAATGTGAATGGATAAAAAGCGGATGAAAAAACAGATGTAAACTCATCTTTGCTTTGAAAAAACGTGACTGAACTGAAAAAAAAAAAAAACTGAATGTCCGTGTGAAAGGATCCTTTGGGTGACGTTCACTTTAACCACTTGCTGTCCGGCCATTGTATATAAACGGACGGACGGTGGCAGTCCCAGGGGCGGGTTGCTGTTCATAAATGCCACACGCCGTTTTGGACTGTGCGCGCTCCCCAGGAGCGCACAGCACCGCGATCCTCCGGACACAGTGGAACACCGATCATCGTACGGGACCTCTGTGCGAGTTCCCGATCATGTGATCACTGATTGGCCAATCAGTGATCACATGAACAGTAGTAAGCAAGATGTCACTTCTGACATCATTGCTTACTATGTTTATAATCTGTGAATGATCACCGAGATCACATGGTACAGGGCTATTCACAACAGCCTTGTACCATGTGACAAGCTGTGACCAATCACAGCTCACACAGTAGTTCTCAGTGGCTGCAAGAATGCAGACAGAGAGGAGAAATTATTGCTTTTACAGCCGTTGTGGGTGTAAAAGCAAACAGTGTAAAAAAAAGAAAACAAATCTTCATCACCCCCCCCCACAAATAGTACAGTGTCACTATGGTGACACTGTACTGCTAGGGTGACAGTAAGTAGAAAAAAAAAAAAAACAAATAATAATTTTAAAAAATAAAATACAAATTTACAACATTTTTTTTTTTAAATTATAATTTTTGGTTATAAACTAATTTGGGTTATTTTTTTTACTAAAAAGATAACGGAATACATTGTGGCCAAGATTTATGATGAAATATTATTTATTTGCAAAATTTTATTAGAAAAAAACACTTTTTTTTCCCAAAATGGCTGGACTTTTTTTTCATTTATATAGCAAAAAAAATTTAAATCCCAGTGGTGAATAAATACCACCAAAATAAAACTTTATCGGTCTCAAAAAAATGCTAAATAATTCATATGGGTACAGTGTTGCATGACGGCGCAATTGTCATTCAAAGCGTGAGCGTGAGAGCGCTGAAAGCTGAAAATTGTCCAGGACTGGAAGGGGGTGAAAGTGTCCGGACTGGAAGGGGGGGAAAGTGTCCGGACAGGAAGGGGGGGAAAGTGTCCGGACTGGAAGGGGGGTGAAAGTGTCCAGGACTGGAAGTGGGGGAAAGTGTCCGGACTGGAAGGGGGGGAAAGTGTCCGGACTGGAAGGGGGGGAAGTGTCCGCACTGGAAGGGGGTGAAAGTGTCCGGACTGGAAGGGGGGAAAGTGTCCGGACTGGAAAGGGGGCGAAAGTGTCCGGACTGGAAGGGGGGGGAAAGTGTCCGGACTGGAAGGGGGGGAAAGTGTCCGGACTGGAAAGGGGGGAAAGTGTCCGGACTGGAAAGGGGGGAAAAGTGTCCGGACTGGAAGGGGGGGAAAGTGTCCGGACTGGAAAGGGGGGAAAGTGTCCGGACTGGAAAGGGGTGAAAGTGTCCGGACTGGAAGGGGGGAAAGTGTCCGGACTGAAAGGGGGGAAAGTGTCCGGACTGGAAGGGGGGGAAAGTGTCCGGACTGAAAGGGGGGGGAAAGTGTCCGGACTGGAAGGGGGGGAAAGTGTCCGGACTGAAAGGGGGCGAAAGTGTCCGGACTGGAAGGGGGGAAAGTGTCCGGACTGAAAGGGGGGAAAGTGTCCGGACTGGAAGGGGGGAAAGTGTCCGGACTGGAAGGGGGGGGAAAGTGTCCGGACTGGAAGGGGGGGAAAGTGTCCGGACTGAAAGGGGGCGAAAGTGTCCGGACTGGAAGGGGGGGAAGTGTCCGGACTGGAAGGGGGGGAAAGTGCCCGGACTGGAAGGGGGGGAAAGTGTCCGGGACTGGAAGGGGGGGAAAGTGCACGGACTGGAAGTGGTTAAGCTGCAAAGGCAGCAGATGAGGTGTAAATTGCAGCAAAAGTATCCACCCTGTGGCATTCACTGCCCCCCAAAAGTAACCCATACTTGTGAATGGAGCTTTCCCAACCCAGGTTTTTAGGGGTTTAAACGGGCAACATAGCACCTGCTCATTGCTTGTCAAAAGCCCCCTGAAAAGCGATCCACCACATGTGCTTGGCAAAGCACCTAATAAGATAATAATACAAGTATATAATCGAGTAATAAAGTATTCTGAATCTGAATCAAAACATGTGTAAATGAGTCCTTAAAAGGAGAAGTATGGGATTTAAAGAAAAAATAACCAAACATCCATACATACGTCCATGTTGCAGCATCGGTGTGATACTGCCGCTGTCCCAAGTCGGCTATAAGACCAAGAATGGAACGATCACATGACCGCTGATCACTCAGTTCTCAGTCTGCTTCAAGCAGAGAGCAGTGACCATCAGTCAATGCTCTCCACTCTACTCCTCCGGAGCTCACTGGAGTGCCGTTTTGGCAAAGGGGGTGGGAGCAGCTGACTCTGGCTCTCAACTGCACGCTGAAAGGGGGAGCCAGCTGTCAATCAGGCAGTGGGGTGGATCCCGACAATATTGACGTGATTCTTCCACTCTGCCCCTCCAGAGCTTATTGGAGTGCCGGAGTTGGGGCGGGAGCAACTGGCTCAGGCTCTCAGATGCAGACTGGAATGTGGAGGCAGCTATCAATCAAGTAGAAGGGTGGTTCCCAAAAATATTAATCAGGATCCTTCCACTCTACCCCACCAGAGTCACTGGAGCGCCGGGGTGGGGGAGGAGGTGGGAGTGGCTGA